CTACCCTGTATCTCCTAGGGCTCCACTTTTGGGTGGCAGCCTACCCAGCCCGGCCTTAGAGATAAGAACAGCCTACTCACACCCCCAGGGATCTGCATAGCCAGTCTTGGTCTGTTTCCTGCTGGTGTAACACGGAACCACATCCTGGTTATGCTATAAAGAAAAGAGATTTTGGTTCACATTTCTGGTCTAAAGTTGAGGGCCCACATCTGGTGCCACCCTTGCTGACAGAGTCCTTAGAGACGGGGTGTCATACGGTGAGTGAGAAGCAGCACACAGGAAACCTAGCCAAGTGGTTTTTATTTGAAAACTGAGTCCAAAACTAACTCAATAACCCATTAATTGAGTGAGTGGATTAATCAATCCATGAAGGCAGAGTGCTAATCACCATTTGATGATGGGGATTAAATTTCAACATGCTTTTAAGAGGATCAAGCCATAGAGGCTTGCTGCTTCCTAATTTCTTGAGGTAGGAGGAGGGATTTCTTGGCTTCCATAAGCCTTTGCGGTCTTTCCAGGGTTTTTTTTTGTTTTTGTTTTTGTTTTTGTGTGTGTGTGTGTGTGTGTGTGTGTGTGTGTGTGTGTGTGTGTGTGTGTTTAATCCCCTTTTCCTCCTCTGGGTCACACTGGTGTGTCTATAAACCTCTCACATGACCTCACTTTCCGTAGCAGTGGCTGCCCCTGGGCAGACACTACCATCTGCTGTCCGCTCAGAACAACAGGCAGCCGAGAGGGTGTAACTTAACCCCACAAGAATGTTTTCACTAGACACCTAACTGGGTACCACCCAGAGCAAGACTTTGTTGAACATGGGCATTTGAAAGCTGCTGCTGACAGACAGGCCACATGGGGCGTCGGAGCCCAGGCTGGCCCAGGTTGCCAGAGCCCCAGGCAGTCTAACCATTTGAAACCAGGAAATGACCTCTGGGACAGCAATGGCAACAGAGAAACGAGCTACTGGGCTCTTCAGCAGAGTCCACTTGTGGGCCTGTTCGCCCGAGTGCCTATTGCAGGACCTCTACTTTCCAAGACCATCCTTTTGCCATGCCCAAGTGGGGTGCAGGCCTACAGTACATTGGATACCTCCTGTCCCTGGCCTGCAGGTATTGTACATGCCTCGTGTGTGTGTGTGTGTGTGTGTGTGTGTGTGTGTGTGTGTGCACAACAGAAATAAAATGGAGGTGCTTCCCTAGCAAAGGCTCGACTTGGTCATCTGCTAATGAAGGTTCTTCTGATGACCGCAGGAGACTGGAGCCAGGTTGGGGTAGCCCAGCTGTGGCCTGCAGCATCTGCTGAGCCCGGGAGAAGTAACAGGTAAACTGCGAATGATGAGCAGCGGACGCTGCCCTGTGTCCTGGGAGAGGTTTACCCCCTGAGGGCTGTGGTGGTTCCCTGGGAGCCTGGGTTAGATGGTGCAGCACGAGATGGGCCCTCAAGTCTGAACCCTGCAGCTCTACTCACGGTGAACTGGCAGATCACACACTGTGCTCCGAGGCCTTGAAAATAGTTCAGAGTCAGAGTGGGCCCATCTCCAGCTAGGAGGTGTGTCTCCCGCCTCTTCCGCCTAGCAGTAAAGAAATAGCAGACTGTGGATTTGGTCACTCACCCACGGTATAAGCAGCAATCGACGACATCAGTGTCATGCCCCAGCAGGAGAGGGAGCTCAGTGGGATAGTGCAAATCTGGTGCTGGTGCCCTGTGCTACTGCTGGCCTGAACCCCGAGAGGGCAGAGCCGAACTACAGTCTTCGGGGGAGTCCTGAAGTAGTCACTCGGATGCTTTACGTAGGCATCATTTGCCAAATAGGGGAACCACACAGAGAGGAGTGGCAAGCCAGGTGAGATGGCTCAGTAGGTAAAGACACTTGCCACCAAGCCTGACGACCCGAGTTCGAGCCCCAGGACCCTTATGGTAGAGCAGAGGTTCTCAACCTGTGGGTTGTGACCCCTTCGGTGGGGGGAGAGCAAACACCCTTTTCACGGGGGTCACCTAAGGCCATCAGGAAACACAGATATTTACATTACAACTCATAACTGTGGCAGAATTACAGAAATGAACTGGCAACGAAAATAGTTTTACGTTTTGGGTCACCACAACCCGAAGAACTGTATTAAGAGGTCGCAGCATGAGGAAGGTTGAGAACCCCTGTGGTCGGAGGAGAGAAATGACTCTTGCAAGTTGTCCTCTGACATCTTCATGTATGCTTGTGAGTACATACGTGTGCGCGCACACACACACACACACACACACACACACACACACACACACACCACACACACAGAGCAGGAGAGTGAGCCCTGCTTGTAGAATTTCTACTTTTTGCCTTGCTTTAACATGTTCCTGAGGAATAAATAGATTTCTTGTAAACAGTTTGTGTGTGTACGCATGTACATGTTTGTGTCTGCATGCACATGCCTCTAGTACGTTTTGTGTTCCTGCGTCTGTATGGTGTATGCATATATGTTGTATTTGTTGTATGTTTAAGTCCCATCCAGTGTGTGCTTGTGTGATGTTTGTACATTATTGTATATGCATTGCGTGTTTGTTGTGTATGTTGTACACTTGTATACTTGTGTATGTGTATACTATATGTACATTTATATGGCGTGTGTATACGTGTGGATGCATATACACGATGTGTCCATGTGGTAGATAGATGCCTTCTCTGGCTTCTTGGGAGGAAGCCTGGAATTTTTTTTTTTTCAGCTCAGCTGTGAGTCATACCCAGTTGGCTCCATCTGAAGCCGTGACTCAACTTTGCAGAAAGACAAACCTCACAGTCCCTCAACCTGTCAGCAAAAGGGTGCATGATAACTATTTGGCTCTTGACAGTCAGGCCACCACCTAACCAAGGGAGGTTGGGGTGACTGCACATGTCCTCGGGAGGCATGGGTTTGCAAACACTGCATCTGAAAGTAGAATCCCAGAAGAGGCTTTCATGAGAAACCCCGTTTTCGTTCTCAGCCCTCCATGGAAGCAGCAGCTTGGGGTGGCCCTCTTGGCTGTACAGTACCCGGCCCCCTCCCATGGCATCGGCACTGGGGTCCCTGGTTGCCTTCCAGGGCTCTGGCTCTCCTGGTCTCTCTCCCTATCTTGTCTGTTCTCCATCCCCGCCCCTGCCCATTTCCTGCAGCCAAGCCCTACCTGCCCCAAGGTCCGTTCCAGTCCAGGCTTCCTGACTCTGAGTGGCCCCATCCACACAGAGCAGTGACGTTTTCCAAGTGACCACCGCAGGCAGGGAGAATGTACCTAAATTTACTCTCTGGGTGCCGGGTGACATTTAATCCATCTAGAGAGAGGGAAGCAGGATAAAAGCTTTCCAATAAAGTTCCCAGGCCACACTGTTGGGCACGTGGTCCTCTCACGGTGCCCTGTTCTCACGTGCATCTATCCCCCATCGCAGCTTCCTCTCCAGGGGTCCTGTGAAAGCAGGCAGCCCTGGAGTGTTGAGGCTGTTCTTTCTCACCCAGCATAGAAGCCCCGTGGAACACCATAGTGCTGGTTGCTGGGTTATACACTGGTGATGGGGTGATGGGGTAGGGCACTCAGATATAGATGGTTTTTATGGGGAGAAAGAACTCTTCCCCATGGAGAAGGGGCCCCAGACACTGCCTCCAGCCCTGAGCTCAGAGGGAACCAGGCTGAGGCAGAATGTAGTGTATAAAGTCCTAGATGATCCGAGGAAAGCGTTGAGAGAGAGTCCTTAGCGTAGGTCAGATTCTGGCATTGTAAATGGTTATCTCATGTAAGGTAACATGTTAGCTAACTTGTCGGGGACACAGTCAGTCTTGTGTCCCTGATCTAGAAGTGCAGGCCTTCCAGTGGTACAGCAAATAGAATAATGGAGGTAGCCCATTGGCTGGTAGCCAATACCTAGAAACAGACAGCATGTTCCCAACCTAGTGGATTTTCCTCTGGAGACTAAAGCTAGAATTACAGTTTACAGCATAGATACCAGGCTTGTGGCATTCCTGTGGTCCAGAGGACCTCAGGTCTCACTGCCCAGCCCCCCCCCCAAAAGAATTACTAATGCATGTGTGATCTGAGCATGATGTAGCCTGTGTGGAAAGCTACCCTGTAAGAGAGCAGGCCAGTGAGCAATGGAAAAGACTCGCAGCGGCGCCCGTGGTGGCCCTGCCAGGCCAGGGTAGGGTTGCACAGATAAAGGCCACCATCTGATAACTACTGCAGCCATCCCAGTGCCTGCTCGGGACTGTGTTTTTGTGTCCTTTAAACCCTCCTTCGCTCCTCTATTGTCGGAGGCAGGTAGTTGGGCTACTACAAAACTGGTCGGCAGGGGCTGTTATTGTCATTAATTTAATTAAGCGGCATTTATTTCTACAAGGGGTTTGTGTACTGTAAAAACTGTTGTGTGTGTGTTAGTTGGTAGCACAGACCCCGGGACTGTAGACAAATTCAAGTTGAGCCTTGGCCTGTGCTGTGAAGTTCAACCATGGCAGGTGCAGTCAGCAAGACTCAGTAGAGCTGATTTATTTGGTTCAGTCCTTTGTCAGTAGCTCCCTAGTTACTGAGCAGGTAAAAACAGAGGCCTCTGCAGAGTCTTAGCTAAACCCCCAGCACAGCTGCTTCTTGTTCTAAAGTAGGAAATGGGTGCTAGGCTTTTCAGAGAAGTAGGTAAGGTGGTGCCCTAGGGGGGTGAGGATTCCTGCACACGTCAGGTCTGAGTGCAGACCCCCTCCTCAGAGTCCAGACAATAGCCCCATGCCTTGCTGTCTGGTGACTGATGACAGAGCAGCACCAGCCCTGCTAGGTGAGAGAGCAGAGGGCACCGAAGTCCTCCGGCTACCCTCCAGGCTGGTGTCAGGTCACAGGCACCGGATCCCGTTACAACCCAGGACGTTCAGTTTCATTGACGGGTCCCTTTCTCTTTCTGTTCCCTTGTGCTGCAGACGATTTACATGGATGATGGAGTGTCGTCCTTTGTGCAGATCCGAGGCTCTGTTCCGCTGTTCTGGGAGCAGCCAGGGCTTCAGGTAGGTCACTTACACAGAATGCTTTCCACTGTGTCTGCGTACCTCTGGTCTCTTTCAGTAGCTGGAGTTTGTTTCTTTAAACGTTTCTTTCACGGTGGTGTTTATGGTCTCGTTCCTTGGCCCAATTCTGTTGAGCCTAAGCTATTGGGGGGGGGGGGGGGGAGAGAGAGAGAGAGAGAGTGTTAAAGATGCACACTGGGTGTAATTGTGTGTATACATTAGCGGTTTACTTTGTGCAGTGAGCGATCTGTTGAGGTGACTCAGAATGCTTGGGTGGGATTGGCTTAAATAGGACCCTAAATCGAGCTTTTTGATAACATTTTTTGGCAGCTGGGAATCCCCTGGAGGGCTCAGGAGGGTCTTCTGGGCCCTTGGTGGCTACATCGTGGGTCTGGCACTCTGTGGTACTTGTGTGGAGCCACGTGAGGATTGCAAAGCTTTCCCGTGATTTCTAAAAATACCTCCTGCCATCCAAAGTACAGCTTTGGGCAGTGCCAGGGGGATTCGGCTTCTGCGTCCTGAGAAGGGTTCAGGGACTGGGGACGTGGTCCAAGGACACAGCTGTTGTCACTGAAAGGCATGCTGTTCTCTCAAGTGGGTTCTGACAAGGTGCATCTGGGGAGAGTGGACTGGAGTTTCCTCCTCCTCCTTACTCAGTTTGGTTTTGCCTTGCGGGACCAAAGTGCCCGAGAAAGCTTCTCCCTGGGTCTGTAGTCTGTAGCTTCTCTTACCCAGGGCTCTTGTGGTATGAGCATTGGATTGTCAGTCAGCAACCCAAGAGGCCAAGAGCACCATGTGCCAGGTTCTCAGGAATGATTGACACAGCAGGGCTCACAGTGCCCAGTCTTGGGCTCAGCTTCTTAGCCCAGCCTGGACCGGTCCCCAGGGCTGCCAGCGCATTATGCCGTGCTGACGGTCCTGGCCACATCCCTGTCAGCTCTTAGAGTAAGATGGATAGATGGAGCGTCTCATTCAGGTCCCGAGTTCTGGGGTGGGGGCAAGGATTTGTTGACATTTCAGTTTTCTAGGTGTATGCGGATGCCCAGTAGCACTGAGAGGTAGAAAAGGGTTTGAGCTAAGTTTGCTTGTAACCGGGGAAAATTCCCCTGGAGGCCTTCCAAAGAGCTTTTGTTGCTGTGACTGCTATTTCTGTCTCGCCATGGAGCTTAGGCCAGCCTTGAACTTGTGGCAGTCTTTCTGCCTCTGCCTAACAAGTGCTAGAATTGCGGACCTGTACTGCCATGCCCACCCAGCTCCCAGAGGTCTTGTTTTGTGTTTTAAACAGTTGTATTGGGACAGAACTTTTCTACCAGAAAGCATACAGCACAGTGCATCTTAGCATTTACAGAGTGAACAACAAACTCTGTAATCTAAGATTAGAATAGTGTTGTGTTTCGTCTCTTTTTCTCTAGTGCTAATCAAACCTGGGGCCTCCTGCAGGCTGGGCAGGAGCTCTACCATTGAGCCACACCCCCACCTCAGACTTGAAAGTGTCTCACCATTGCTGGGACACCCATGGCACCCTCTTCTCAGCTCCAGCTCAGGCCATGGAAACTCTCAGCCTACCACCTGTCTCTATAGACTCGGATCTAGGAGTCAGGGCTGAAGCATAATGCCCCTGCCTACCTGCAGCCCCATCCCTATCTATCTCTGTCTGGCAGAGCTTACATTCCTTGGGACAGCTCCTTTTATAGCCCAGGATGTTTGAAGGTGCTTGAAACTTGTTTTTCTCTAGATGTGGTTTTCCTTTGAGTTCTGTGTGAAGCGACACACAGGTCATGTGAACACAGTATACAGAGGAATCCAGGAGGCTACGTTATGTTCATGCAAAACTTACCAGAAACCCAAAAATTGATCATGATAGCCTTAGAACATTGAAAGGACTCTGAAATTTGTCTCACCCTCCCAGCTCTATGGGGGATCCCTTCTCCTGGACCTCTGAGAGAGAGGTTATGCTCCAGGTCCTACTGGGGGTCCTGATGATTGGAAAATCTTCCATTGTCTGCCTGTCTGTCTTCCCAGGACATTCAGGGATGCTGAGGAGCAAATCTCACTTTCTTCCCAAGGTTCTCTTGTAGTTCTTGGGTGGGATGCTTCAGGGTTCTGTCTCCTCTCCTTTGGTCATCCCCAGCATCTTCCTGCTCCTTTGAGGATCTTTTGTCTGATTGGGAGGACTCTCAGTGTTCTGGTCTTCTTCATCTAAAACACAAGGTAGCATTGGCCATCTCCCTGTGTAAAGTAACTTTGGTCTCCAGCTCTGTGGACACAGCCTGTGTAGTCATGGTATGACTGTGCCTCAGGTAGACTCGGAGCAGGGTCGAGGCAGCTGCATAACCCTTTTAGATCCCTAACTCTTGTCCGTTGGCAAAGCCTCAGTGGTGTCTCCAAACACAGGTTTAAAAGGCTAGCATTCATAAGTCTTATCTGGGATTTGCTAACTTTGGGGCCTAATACCTGTATTTATACTCTAAATACCATCCATTATCAAAGAGAGTGATGTCATCTTCAGAGAGGTGGGGGCAGCTCTACATGTAGTAGACATCCAGTAGCAACTATCAGGCTAAGATTAGTCCTGGTTGTCTGTCTTCTTCTTTTTTTTCCCCCCCGACTTTTATTGAAAATAGTTTCAGTTCCAATACAGTATATCCTGATTAGTTTGCCTGTCTTTTTCCATTTTCAATTTTGCCCTTTCTTCTTGCCTAGGTGGGATGAAAATGCACAGATGTGCAGGGGAATGGTGTGTGTTCTAAATTACAATGCGGTGATGTCTTGGGGGCTGTCTGGGGAATATGAACCCTGCAAGGGATGAGGAGGAGTTGGGGAAGACAAAAGAGGCTGGGGGACGATGCTTCAGCTGCAGGGAGTCATGGGCACGATGCCCTCAGTACAGACTCCTACCTCTCTAGTCTACATGGCACCATGCACATTTAATAATTTTATCTGCCCCATGCAGATAGCTGTGCTGCTTATAATTACCCCAGTAAGAATTTGACCCTTAAAACTCTAGCTCTTCTGGGAGAGCTTGTGATGGGATGGATGTATTCATCATTTCATCTGTGTGGGAGAGATTACTCTTTTTGCAGTGGCAGGATCTTCATCCCCGTGACTGGTGCAGACACGTGCCTGCCGCATGTGATTCTGGTCTTGACTTTGAAGTTCACGGGATGGGACCGAGTGGAGGAAAGACGCCGAGGAGATTATTAGGGCATCTCATCCGCACCATCTCTTCTCTCTCAAATGCTGCTTCCCGTGTCCTTGGGAATGTGGTGGAACCGGTGCCTCTTTGTATGCTTGCTCCATCCCACTATAGGGAAATGAGATGGCTTAGGTACGGCACAGAAGGTCCTGGGGTGAAGGAAGGAAGCGCAAGTCCTCCAAGTTGAAATGAACAAAAGCCAAGGGTGTAATGGGTGCCGTGGGGTTGGCGAGCCCTACCGGAGACAGCTTCCGTTTGTCCCAGTCCCTGGGGCAACCAAGGTTGCAAGGCCATCAGTCATAGGAATTCAGGGGGTAAGCTGTGAAGCTAGAGGGACATGGGTATCCCACTTGGTCACAACCGTGTGTTTTGAAGACATTTGTATCTTTGCTAAGCCATAGTTTACTGTTCTATAAAGTGGGATTAAGAATTCCTGCCCTCAAGGGGTTATAGAAAGGATTAAAAATCATAATACATACTAGAATTTAGCACAGTGTTTAGACACCCACCCCCAGTACTCAAAATGATAACTGTGGTTAATAATAATGGAGTAAATGAAGAATAATACTAATACTAATACTAATACTAATACTAATACTAATACTAATACTAATACTAATACTAATACTAATACTAATACAAGCCATGTTGGGAGAAGTGTGGCTCTGTGTACGTTAGCTGGTAAGAGTTCTCTCCCCTTCAGAAGGACTCCCATGTAGCCGTGTAACATAAAGAACACATCTTTGGCTGTCTCTCTGCTATGCCTCACGTTGATAGGAAGTCAGAAGTCCTAGGCTCACCGATGGGGCATTTTCTGTGTACAGCGGACATCTGGAGTCAGATGCAGCCCTTGCCTTCAAAGAGTAAGGGACAGACACGTGACATGTGTTACATGAATAGGGCTGTGACAGAGGAAGGCTGAGATCTGAGCAGCAGCTCCCAGAGGAACAGGTGACCCAGGAGGGTGGAAGAGGGACCTCTCAGGACTGGAAGGGGTCCTTCAGTATTTTCGTCTGGATTGACTTGGGGGTTAGAACCCCTCGGGCAAGCGAGGCAACCCTGGCCAAGGAACGGCAGGTGCGTCGCTGTAGCCCCTGAGGTTCGTATCTCGGGAATGGCACTGGCTTAGTGTTTGGGGTCCCCGGTGTGAGCCATTTTTGAGGTCTGGTGGTGAAGGGAGCTGATTTGCTCCATTTGTCTGCTTCCGGTAGCACTGCCAGCCTGGCCTCAGCACGGCGAGCCGGGCAGAGCTGTGCCGTGGTCGGCTGGTAAGCTTGTAGGGCAGTCACCACATGCTGGGCCATGGTTGCAACGAGCTTTGGGGTGAAGCACGATTAGACAGAACCCCCAGAAGTGTTCCTGGGGAGACCCCAAGGGAAGCTGCTGACATGAGCGTGCTGCCAGCCTCTGGGCGGAAGCAGTGGGCACTGCAGAGCCTGGAGACGATGCTCCTGATTACCAGGGCTCCCGAGTGCGAGCTCAACCTCTGATGTGACCCCAGAAGGTGTTCATGGGACTTGGGCTATAACTCAGTTGTGAAAGATATGGGGTGAAATGAATAGTTGTAGGATGCAGGCGAGGATCATCGGTCCTTTAGCCAAAAAAGGGAGAGGCTGAGGTGGAGGAGAGAGGGGCACATTAAAAAAAGCAGCACGGGGCCAATGGAGATTTTATTCTGCTGATTGCAGCTCCTCCCAAGCCTGCTGGTACACTTGCCGGCACACTTACACCAGGAATAGGTGATGCCAGAAAGAGACGATGTGGTACTGTGTTAGAATGGGCCAGAAGTGGAGGAAGGAACAGCCGAGCTAGAGACGGCAGAGACAGGACGCAGGGTCTGAGGAGCCCAGACTAATGCTTCTCATTCTCTCCCATTCCTACCCAAAACCCTTGCTGCTTTAGAAAATGAAGGACTTCATCCTGAAGCCATGATGTCCAGAAGTCCCAGAGTTCACTGCAGCTTTGCCCTGTGGGTTCAGCCCCAAGCTGCTCTTTCCCTGATGGGCCCTCACACACTTTTGTAACCAGAGCAAAAGGGGTTAGCAAGAGACAGGAAATGAGTCAAAGCCCATGCTGCCAAACCACAATGGGCATGCATCAGGAATCAGCTGGAGGCTTGTGAAACACACATTCCCGACTCCACCCTCAGAAATACTGCTCAGCGGATCTGAGCTGGACCTGCAACTTAGCATTTCTAGCGTGTCTCCAGGGGACTCAAGGACCACGCTTTGAAACCTCCTGGCTGAGACTCGGGTCCTTTCCATCCATCTCCTACCTGGTTATTCCTGTGGAAGTGGAGCCCTGGATTCCCACGTGTTCACAAGAATAGGTTCATTGTTAGCACTGACGTTAGATTAGCCATGGTGATATGATCATAATGCCTGTGCCCATCCTGTTCCACTCTGGACTGGGCTGGGCCTTCTGCTGCTGTTGGTTGTTGCCGCTGCCCTGGCTTTCTCCCTATGGCCTATCTTCCCCTGAGGCGGTAGAGGGCGCACAAATAGAGAAGATCCTCATGCCACACTGGAGCGCTGGTCCCGGTGCTGTCTCCATTGTATTAATCCAAGTTGTGCAGAATTGTTGGAATCTTTCTGTGGCGACCATAGCTAGATGAGAATCACCTAGGTTGGGGACTCCGTTTCCTCACTTTGTCCCTGAATGGGTACTCAGTGACATATTGACTCAGCACTCAGTAACTAAGCAACGTCTGGCCTAGGTAATGTTTAGACAGAGAGCTCTAGAGCCTGGGCCTGGACACTGTAGTGCATTCTGCTGTGCCTTCAGGTGCCACTTATGCCACAGAAGGGACTTCCGGCTGGGACGCAGGGAGATGGGCAGACCTGTCCAGTACTGGAGCTTGTCACAATGGCTTCTGTTAAGAAGAATAGAAATGGGAGAATTTTGCTGGCATGGTCTATGCTATCATTAGGGACCCCGCTGCTGCAGAGTAGACCTGGGGATACCAATCCTTGTAAGGCTGGGAGTGTGGTTAGCACAGTCAAGGGTGCCGGGCCTGCCTCAGCAGGGACTGAGCCACAGAGATGGCCAGGCAGGTGCCACATGCAGCCTGGCTATGGAGTGAGAAAGTCATCGTCTTGGCTCGGTGAACATTGCTGTCGTCATCCTGTTGTTCTATCTTTCTGTAGGTTGGCTCCCATCATCTGAGACTACACAGAGGCCTAGAGGCCAACGCCCCTGCTTTTGAAAGGTAAGGATCATCAGGGACTGTCCAAGACCTTCCATCCTCCATCCAGATAGCCGGGCAAGGGGCAGGACAGTGGGAAGGGGGGGACCCCAGTCCCGGATCAAATCTGCCCTGGCTTTGGTCCTTTACCCAAGAAAGGAGGTCGCCAAATGGGGTTTTTGCTTGCTCTCAAATCTCCTTGAGAATCAACTCATCAGTATGTAGGTAGCACTTGGTAATTACTTTATCTTGACTGTTTCTTCTTAGAATGAAGATTCACCAATTACCCCTGGTTAATGAGGGATAATCTGAATTATATCAGCACTATTTCTAGCTAAAAGTAACATATTAAGTTTTTTTAAAGTATAGAAAGGTGTAAGGTAAAAGAATATGCAAACTCCCAAGTTCCTCTCAGAATTTACCCATTATCAGTTATTTATGAATCCTAGATAAAAGCTTTAGCATATATATTTCATTTTAAAAGAAAAAAGACAATTGGACCATAACATATCGTTTTATACCCTGCTTAGGGAAAACCATTGCTAGCCTGAGCTGTTTATAATCTGTATTTGAATAGTCAGTACCTTCTTTAAAAGACTTTGTTTTTAATTTTCAAAATCTTAAATTTAACAAAATTCTCTAACTTTGAGTACTTTATTCATTCCTCCTGAAGCTTCATTGGGTTTTGCATTTGCTTATATAGTTTTTGAAATCCATATAACACTGGTAATGTGATCACACCTGTGACTCCCTAGTAGTTGCTAGAAATGACGGGCTCTTTTGTGTAATCTACTCTTGTCCCAGAACACGCTCAGGTTCTCAGCATGACACACACAGAGTCAGTTTAGTTGACATTGGTCCATACTAGATGTTCCCAGGATGTAGTAAGTGTAGACTAAAATTCTAACAAGGGGACAGGGTCCTGCTGGGTTTGTTCCCAACAGACCCTTCCTCACGCCAAAATGGCGCATCTCATCACAGACATGAAAAATACCGTCTTATTTTTAGACAAAGGGAAACAAAGGAGAATCACCTCCCAGGTGCCAAGCCCCGCCTCCTTTCGCTCTTGTTAATTCTTACCCCTTCCCTGCTCAGGGAGGCTGAGCTGAGTGGTGCAGAAGAGCAAGCACAGGATCTGTTCCAGTGCCAGGAAAGGACAACAGCTTGGAATTTGGAACCTGTTGGGAGGGAAACAGAGATCAGACAGGGACCAGGCACATATGGGTCTTATTTCTGAGAATCCGTGTGGCAGGATGTGGCTTGGATGTGTGGCTAGCATGGGACATTGACACCCAGTGACAGGCACAGTCAGCAACCCACGTTTCCTCAGTGGAGACAGGACGTACATGTCTGAACCTCAGGAAGAGACACACCTTCGCTGGGAAATCCCTAAGAGCAGACCCTCCATGCCCATCCCTTCTTGTCCCTTCCTTGGGCTGCCAGGACTCTCACTGTGGGGAACTAGCAGCCTTGGAAAGAGTTTCACCCTTCACTGGGGTCATCTAGTCAGCAGATAAGCTTAGATAAAGCTACCCATTTCTAAATCTTTTTATATCACGTGATATCACTCAACACCAAGCAGGAGAATATTTTTTTTTATTCTCAGGCTAAAAATAGTTCTTTACAAACTTAAAAATAATTGTATTTATAAAATAAATGTCAGAAAATAAATTGTAGGAACTTGGAAGAGAGAAAAATGTTGAAAGAAGAAAAACAAAGTTAACATTCCACCCACTTTTAGTACCACAGTGTATAACTTAACATTCTTTCTTTTCTATATTTACATGTAAAAATTTTCTATATTACATAAAAAACTTACATAGAAAAATTACGCTATTAAGGTCTATTGATATGTCTGATTTTTGCACTGTATTTTCCTATTTTTAAAAGCACAACATTGAACCATTTCTAAGATTAAAATTATGAAGGTACTTTCGCTAAGCAAGGTAGCTCATGCCTGTTATCCCAGCATGTGAGAAGCACAGACTGGGAAATCAGGTACTGAAGGCCATCCTTGGCTATGTAGTGAATTTGAGACCAGCCTGGGCTGTATTAAACCCAAGGAAAAATAAAGTTACTTGTAGCAAACTTGTGATAAAGACTAAGAACTGGTGCCTCTGTAATACTTGAAGGTGAAATGTGTACTGCCCATTTCGTGATTCCATCTAATTTGGGTTTCACAGTGGGAACCCAGCACCTGGGAGGCAGTTGGCCTCCAAGGTAGAAGTTGAAGTTCATCCTCCAGCGTTTCTAATTGGGAAAAGGAGGAGCAATCAAGAGGAAGAGGCAGTTCTGGGTTAACTTTGGAGATGAGTGTGTTGAACCCTTATGGCTGTTCACAAAAGATGGGGGCGTTCTAGGTGGTACCTGATAGAAAGGCCAACGCAGCTTCATCTAAAAGTCACACACACTAAGCATGATTCCTGCCCAGAGACTTCCATTCAAACAGCCTGGACTGACTTACACCCTGTGAGTTTTAGGTGAGCAGTGATGGCAGCCAGGAGGAAGGGGTTTTCTCCGCTGTACACTTGGGTTTAAGGGACATGGCTGGTCCCAGACCTCCAATGCTGAGATGGAGGTGCAGGCTGCCTGGCCTGGGTGCCACAGAGTCACCGCCAACCCCGATACCGTTGCAGGCACATGGTGCTTCTGAAGGAGCAATATGGGAAACAGGTGGTCGTGAACCTGCTGGGAAGCAGAGGTGGTGAGGAGGTGCTCAACAGGGCCTTCAAGGTAATGCTCACCCTCCTCCACAACCAGGGGTGGGTGGGGAGGGGGCAGAGGGGGGGGCCCACTCACATGGAAGGGCCTTGAGACTCAGGCAGCCCTGCTCATGTGACTACTGAGAAGGGCAAGCGCCCTGCTTAGGTTTTTAGAGCCCAGCACTTGATGGCTTGGGCCCTTAATACTTTAAATTTACTTTCCATGAGCTGAGGGATGGGAGAGTTTGTTCAATCTCTAAACAGAACTGTTCTCCCGAGCTCCACATGGACGGAGAGGGCCCCCCACTCCATGCTGGCCCCCCACTCCATGCTCCCTCAAGGAGCTGCTCTCCAGGCCGGAACAGAAAGGAAGCCTGGCGCTGGCCTCACACCTCGGAGGCCCCACCTGCCAGCCACCCATGGCATTTGTGCCAAGTTGCTGCTCTGAGTCTCTCGGTTCAAAGCCGACCCCGCGTGGCTTCCTTCTGCCTGGATGGCCTTCAAGTTTCATGGTCACGTTTGGGTTGCCAGGGGAGGCCGTGTGCCAGCTCCTGGTAGACAGACCCCTTTCGATTCCTGGGCGCTCAGTTCAGAGCAGAGTGGATTTCGACAGGGTGAGGGAGCAGGTGGAGCGGGTAACTCCACTCAGGTCTCTCAGCCCCGGAACCCGTGAGCTGGTGGTCTTCCGTGAAAGGTTCAGTGAACTGAGGCAGTCTCCGCCATCCTGCCGAGGTTCCACAAGCTCTGCTTAGAGGGAAAAGGCTCTCGGGTTGTTTGCCGTTCAAAGAAGTCCCTTGTGGAGACACCCTAAGATAGAGATGTGGTAGAGACGTGAACTTGGTGCCTTCCACTGCCACCCTGACCTCTGACCCCTAATCCCTGGCTGGAGGAAGCCAAATCCAACTGGAGCGCTCATGTCTCTCTGTTGGGAAAAGCGGCATGTGTGGAACAGGAGCTCACTGGTTGCTGGTTCTCCTTGGCTAGACTTGCTTTTCCTGTTTAAGTTTGTTGCTATGAGCAACGAGCACAAGAAATATCTCCTCCCACTTCTCCTGGCAGCGAGGCCGGCTGCTTATTTTAAGGAAGGTGAGGGGAAAGGGGCAAGAGAGAAAACCAGTCTCAAAATCTCTCTCCAACAACAACAACAAAAAAAACCCAGATCTTTCATGCTTGAACTAGAGCAAGGACACGTTCGGCCCCCTCCCCCAGCCAGTGGCCGTGCCCTGGCACTGAAGTGAAGTCCTCCTTTATACCCAGAGGACAGAGATGTCCCAGGAGTTAAGGATGGTTTCCTAGCAGGTAGAGCTAACACTCTACTTGGAGACAGGCCATGGTTCTAATGCCCGAGCATCCCTTACCAGAGAGAAGCCAGTGCCTGGCGGGCAGCCTGGGCCCCAGAGGTTGCCATTCCACAGCTGGGCAAGGCCACTAAGTTCTTTGTTTAGTTACACGGGCTTCTCTTCCCAACACGAAGGTAGCAGAACGTGTTAGCTTGCATTCTGGCTGGCTGGAGCGATCCAGAGTCCTCCTAGTTCTTCAGAGTTCTCCGCACCTCTGGCTGGGCAGGTGTTGGGTTAATACAGTGAGGTCCAGAGACAGGTGGCTGAGGAAGGCAGGCAGGCTAGGGAAGCTGGGTGGGGAAAGGAGGCCTCGCTTCTGTGAGGCGTGTCCTGACCCAGCCATAGCCCTGATCTGTGCCTCTCTCTGTCCCCCCACCTTTACTCTGAGTCAGGTGGGGCAACATCTCCTCCAACTTGGGCTTCACCGCTCTACACATCCTGCCGGCCATCTCAGTCTGGAGACTCAACTCTTGCTGAGCCCCCCACCACCCTCGTAGGGCTGGTGCCTGTCTGGATGAGGCCGGTTACCAGGGCAACAGGAGCTAGATTATGAGCTGCGCAGCCTGCCACATGTCGCTGTTCTTGAGGGCTGGGCACTTGGGCCACCTGAAGAACAGCTCTAACCTTCCCTCACCTGTGCCCCCCCCCAGCCCCAGGAAGAGTGGGATGTCCCCCAGAGAGACACCCCTGCTGCAGGCTCTTTTGCCCAAGGGGGACCTTCTGCTCTTATGCAGGCAAGATGTTCTTTGTGTTTTCTGCGCCCTCCAGCCCCTCAGACTTTGGTCTTGTGTTTCCCTTCCAAGGTCAGGGCCAGTCTACCGGCTGATGTACTCACTCTAGCGGGGGACAGTTGGTGGCCAAAGCACCCAAGCCGCTGGAGGAAAACCACGGGCACGCCTTGCCTTTGCTTCCCATTCTTTTCTGGGGGCGTGCTCACACCCTCCCCTTTCCCTTTTCAGAAGTTGCTCTGGGCTTCTTGCCACGCGGGCGACACGCCTATGATCAATTTTGACCTCCATCAGTTTGCCAAAGGCGGGAAGCTAGAGAAATTGGAGAACCTGTTGAGGCCTCAGTTAAAGCTGCACTGGGATGACTTTGGCGTGTTTGCGAAGGGCGAGAATGTAAGTCCACGGTGAGTCTCGGTGGGGGCTTCAGACTCCTGCTGGGGGAGGAGTCTGGAGGCTGTGGAGGCCGGGGGTGGGGTGGGGTGGGGGGTGGGGGGCTTTAGGTCATGCACCTCAATGGAAATCATTTCCGTCCCTGGCTGCCTGGCTACGCTGAGGTTCCCTGAATCAGAAGCTCTGTGAGGTTGGGCTTCTGGAGGTCCTGTCTTCTCTCTTCCCTCCTCTGTAGTTGGAGATAGGCTTTTGAATTTAGTGAGAAGGTGGTAATGCCTGATTTTCTGGAAAAGGACATGTCCGAACATAAAGGACTGAATTACAACGTTGAGCTCAAAGCTGGCCGTGTAGCTCAGTTGGTAGAGGGCCTGCTGCCTAGCATGCACGGAGCCCTGGGTTCAGTCCCCAGCATCAGGCAGAACTAAGTGTGGCGATGTGCATCTGTCATTCCAGCACTTGAGAAGCAGACACAGAAGGGTTAGAAGTTCAAGGTCATGTACAGTGAGTTCTAGGCTATCCTGGGCTACCTGAGACTCTATCTCAGAAACAGAAACATCCAACCACAAACCCAACCAACCAAACAAGCAAAACAAAAACAAAAACAAAAAAACCCCTGAGTTCAGAACACCTGACTTGGCCACATTGAGACAGGACCTATGCAGTGAGCTGGTACAAAGCCAGAGTGCTACATCACTGGGCTGGGAGTTACCCTGTTGTGAGTGGAGCCTAAAGAAGGTCCAGCTTCCTCAAACTATGGTCCATCATCAGGAGATCTCAGATTTATGAGATCACTTCCTCACTAAAACTCCCCGGCACCCCGAGAGTCTCCTCACTGCATACGTGTTCACCGTCATTCACAGGCACATGCGGAACAGTGAAAACTTTACCACCCAGGGGATTGCCGAGGCCATGCTCTGCCGCCTTGTCTCAGTTCCTACTGTAAAAAGTACCTTTTCAGCCGGGCGGTGGGCGGTGGTGGCGCACGCCTTTAATCCCAGCACTCGGGAGGCAGAGCCAGGTGGATCTCTGTGAGTTCGAGGCCAGCCTGGACTACCAAGTGAGTTCCAGGAAAGGCACAAAGCTACACAGAGAAACCCTGTCTCGAAAAACCAAAAAAAAAAAAAAAAAAGTACCTTTTCACTGTTTACCTACGGCTGTGATTTCCACACTTCTATGCTTCTCCTGGGTGATGTCCCTGTTTACCCTCAGTGCCAAGGTGCCGCCTGGCTTTCCAGACACGAGACAGCAAGGCTGTTCCCTGCACAGGAAACACTGGGTACCTTCCTTCAGACCAGAGTTGCAGTGTGGTTGGTGGAGAATCATGTTAGTGAAACAGCAGTATGCCCATGCCACTCGACTTAACAGTGGTATCACGGCCTGATAAACCCATTTCCTGTCAAATCGACATAAAATCGAAAAACAAAAGGTTGAATTGCACCATCCCAGGTTTGCCTGCCTGTGTCTATTTACCAGTGTGTGTCTTTGAACAAAAACATGCAAGCAAGGTCATTGACCAGCTGATACAGTGTCAGAGACATGGGGATTAGCACTATCCATAAAGTGCTATAGAATGTCATCATTGTAGATATCAAGGACCAACTGTGCTTACAATGACCCAGGGGTGTGGGCTGCTGAGAGTGTGTTCTTGGGCCTGCCCACCACTTCTGCAGTTCAGGATCTCTTGGGATGTGTCCTGGGCTGCCGATAAGCTGCTAGGGAGGAGACCGGAGGCTCTCTTGGGAAAAGGTTTCCTTGGGAGCAGACAGACCTAGGCCATGGGCTTTGGCTGTTGGTCTTCCAAGCACATCTCATGATCCTTCCATGTCTCCTGGCCCTAAGTTTTCAGAAAGGCACTCTGCGGATGAATTGTCTCGACTGCCTGGACAGAACCAACACTGTACAGTGCTTCATTGCCCTTGAGGTGAGTTCCTGGGGCCGTTTCTGTCACGGCTTGCGCTGTCAGTGGGGCAAGAATGCCTTTACTGGGTTGACTTTCCAGTGATAGATCAGGTGACAGGGATGTGGAGGGGGAACATTTACAGCGGTTTCTTTGGTGGCTTCCTGCTTGTGCCACCATATGCCTTTCCCTGTCATAGATGTACTTGTTCATGTGCCTACCGAGATGCATCCCAGACATTGTGACCCAAAGGCTCCAGGTGCCCTTAAGAAGTAGATACTCTGCATAGAGATAGTCTTGAATACACCCCAGAGGCATGGCAGTGTGAGACTGGCTGAGATGACTGGTCCTGAAGCCTGGCGAGGAAATACCCAAGTGCCACTGTGGCCCTAACTGCCTGGTTGACCTCTTACAGTTCCATCTGAGCCATCTCTTGTCTCCCCCCTGCCTCCTGACAGTAATGTTGGTTGACCTGGCATCAGGCACAGAGGGGCTGGGAAGATGGTCTAAGTCAAGTTGAGGGAGTCAGGGTGTCTGCGTTGGGGGGGAGGGAGTGGTTATTTCTCTGCAGCCGGTGTTCCTCGTCGGCAGTCTGATGAATAAGGTGCTCACTCAGAGGCATCAGTAGGTTTTCTAGGTGTCCAGTGATAACCGTGATTGGTTTCTCTCCCAGGTCCTTCATCTGCAGCTTGAGAGCCTGGGGCTAAATTCAAAGCCCATCATTGACCGCTTTGTGGAGTCCTTCAAAGCCATGTGGTCTCTGAATGGGCATGGCCTGAGCAAGGTGTTCACAGGGAGCAGGGCCCTGGAAGGAAAGGCCAAGGTAGGGGCAGGCCAGGGCTGCTGGGAGGCCAAGGTAGGGGCAGGTTGAGGGGGTAGGAAGGAAAGCCCCTTGGATCCCTCTCAGCAAGTTTTTGTACCCATGCAGGTGGGGAAGCTGAAGGATGGGGCCCGGTCCATGTCTCGTACCATCCAGTCCAACTTCCTTGATGGGGTGAAGCAAGAGGCCATTAAGCTACTGCTGGTTGGAGATGTCTACAACGAAGAGTCCACAGATAAAGGAAGGATGCTGCTGGACAACACGGCCCTTCTGGGTAATGTGTGCCCACCCTTGCATGGGGTGTCCACAGCCTTAAAGGGTTTGAGGAGGCAAGAGTGACAGTGGATGAGGCTAATGGCCCCACCACACCCAGTCACGTGATCTAAGATGGAGCTTCTGGTCTGTGTTCTGTTTGGATCAGTTGACCTAAGCAGCCTGACATCCCTGTACAATTGTCCCTCCGTATCCACAAAGCGCTGAATCTAGGTTCCTGTCTTCGTTAGGGTTTCTATTGCTGTGAAGAGTCACCATGACCACGGCAACTCTTATAAAGGAAAACATTTCATTGAGGTGGCAGCTTACAGTTTCAGAAGTTTAGTCCATTATCATCATGGCAGGGAGCATGGCAGCGTGCAGGCAGACATGATGCTGGAGGAGCTGCTACATGTTAATATGCAGCAACAGGAAGTAAACTGACTCACTGGGCATGGCTTGAGCATATAGGAGACCTCAAAGCCCACCTCCACAGTGACACACTTCCTCCAACAAGACCACACCCTACTCCAAGGCCACACCTCCTAATAATGCCACTCCCTTTGGGGGGCCATTTTCTTTCAAACCACCACAGTTTCCCTGGCATAAACTCCACAGATGCTCAAGTCCCACAGGGCCCCTCAGAAATAAAGAACGCTGTTGAGCCCTGGAGTTGGCGGTGCGTCCAATCTCACAGAGCTGTCAGGAGTCATTGGGGCGAGTTCTGCCCTGTTTTGTCGTGGTGGTGGTGGTGCTTAAGATCAAACCTAGAGCCTGGCACATACTTGACAAGTGCTCGACCATGGACCTGGACACCCTTCGCCTCCTGTTACTTTTTGTGTTCAGATATGTTCTCACCAAGCTGCCTACCCTGGCCTTGAACTTTGGATCCCTCTGCCTCAGACTCCCAAGTATCTGTGATTACAAACTCTGTGTCATTAGGCCTGATTTCTATAGGGAACTTTTCATGACCTCTTATTCCTTAGAGGCCATGGACTTATTATTCTAATGGAAAAAAGAAGGGCAGAGTCAGCTGTTGACTTATAAGAATGATTAAGTTTTAGAAACTTTTAATGTTTTGGAAAAATAAATGAACCCATGTTAAAATAGTTTTATACAGGTATTTCACTTCTCATTGTTCCATAATTGGGGAACACTTAGCTTTCCAAGGTGATATTGAATATCTGCTCTGGGTTTAATTTCCAACTCAGGAAAATTGGAGCCAACTCCACATGCCACTGTGAGCTCATTTAGTGGCAAACAGGAGATTTAAGTCACTAGTTTTAGAGATTTTTTTTCTAGGTATATTTATTTTCTGTATATGAATGTTTTGCTTGCATGTACATATGTGCATATCTGACGATCTAGGACCCAGAAGAAGGGGCTGGATCTCCTGAAACTGGAGTCATGGATGGTTTGAGTCACTCTGCAGGTGCTGGGAATCAAACCCAGGTCCTCTGTAAGAGCAACAAATGCTCTAAACCTTTGAGCCATCTCTCCAGCCCCTAAAGTTGCTAGCTTTTAAAACTGTGGGTAAATTTTGGGTCTTTAAATAGATAGAGATATGGATGCAATGTTTTGGTTTCTAATGCCTTAGGTTTGAGGTGAAATAAACAAAACAGTCTTGCTGGATGGGGAAGGTTA